TTAGTTATAGTAGTAGTAGTAGTAGTAGTAGTTAGCAGTAGTATTAGTAGTAGTAGTAGTAGTTAGTAGTAGTAGTAGTAGTAGTAGTAGTAGTAGTAGTAGTAATAGTAGTAGTAGTAGTAGTAGTAGTAGTAGTGGTAGTAGTAGTAGTAGTGGTAGTAGTGGTAGTAGTAGTAGTAGTAGTAGTAGTAGTAGTAGTAGGAGGCGGAGGAGGAGGAGGAGGAGGAGGAGGAGGAGGAAGAGGAGGAGGAAGAGGAGGAGAAAACGGAGCAGGAAGAGGGGGACCAGGAAGGAGGGGAGGATGTGGAGGAGGAGGCGGGGGAGGAGGAGGACATGGAATCATAAATGGGTGAGTGAGTGAGGACAGTCGCGATGCGAGTCGTAATGGAACCTACGGGCGCTTTCGAGCGAGCTTCTTGGCCTTGCAGAAAGCCTTCGGCTATCGATCGGGTTCGGTCCGTTTAGTAATACTTGCCCCGATATCGCTTTCGTACGCGTGAGGCATTATTTACCCGTGTTCCTGGTGACACTATGAGCAAAACCGTCTGCCCATGGATTGGTGCAGGTGGATTCTGTGGCTACTGTGCACCCAGCCCCCTTTCTACATGTAGTGTTTTTTTACCCCCCCCTACGGCAACGCATAATGTGTACCACCTACAGGGTCAGGTTTAAAACAGGGTGCTACATTCCATTCTGAGTAAGAAGCCAAGGCGGCCGAGCTACAGCGCAATTATAACGCTTGCCAGGCTCGTCCAAATACTGGTTGGACGCACACATTCGAGATACAAAAGGGGCGGGATGTGGGAGAGGCTCACAGGCAAACTCCTTTTTCTGCCTCGGACCGACACTCTGCAGCTGGAAATTTTCAGCATCCAGAGCCTCAACTGATGCTCTGGCCAACCTCGTGCGAATATGATATGATTCTTTCTCTTCTTGTTTATGAGCTCGGTGCCTCTCGTACTCCGCACCGCAAGCCGCGCACGACTGGCAGCAGGGCGGGCCAGCTCGTCCACGGCCGTGTTCCCGACCACGAGCTGCCAGGCTGCAGCTCCGTCAAGGACCTGCCGTGCAGACATATGCTAGTTGACGAAATTAACGACGAACTCACTGGGGTCCCGATCCTTCAAGGCGATGCCGATCTTATGCTTCCCGTCCGCGTCGTCGCCTGAAGGTGTCTGATATTTCTTGTGATGCCCTCCGACGGCCGCTCCATTCTTGTCGGAAAGAAAGTAGACGACTCCACGCGAGGTCTGCACAGCGACGAGGAGAGCGTACAGCTCCCGCTAGGAACACTCTGCCGATTGCCTAGGAGGCCGCCCTATCGAGCCCGCCTCCGAGCTCAAGTGGATCAAACCTCTGAATTTTGATGACTGCGAAGGCAACGCGACGAGATCTGCTGTCCGCCGAGTCCTCCCCACCATTGGCCACTAGCGTCAGCGAGTAGCCAAAGCGGGTGCTCGACTGTGCCGACGCCGGGAGGAGGGAGGAGGGACGAGGAAGGAAGAGGGAGGAGGAAGGAGGAGGGAAGAGGGAGGAGGAGGGAGTAGGGAGGAGGAGGGAGGGAGGAGGAGGAGGAGGGAGGAGAGTGGAGGGAGGAGGGAGGAGGGACGAGGAGGGAGGGAGGAGGGAGGAGAGAGGAGGGAGGAGGGTGGAGGCATGAAGCGGAAGAGAGGAGGGATGACGATGTTTCTCTTGATGATGGTGGTGGTGGTGAGCTCCTGCTGATGACGATGATGGTGATGGTGATGATTAGGATGATGATGATGAGGAGGAGGAGGAGGAGGAGAAAGATCATGATGAGGATAAGGATGAGGATAAGGATGTGGATGAGGATGATCAGGATGATGTGTTGATAATGCTGCTGCTGCTGCTGCGGGAGGCGAGATTGCAGGAGACGCAGACGAGATAGTTGACAATCTTGTGCGGTTGTACAACGACATCATGGACCCTTGCGCAGAGAGATTTCGGAATCGTGGGGGAAAACTGTTATCAAAGTTTTGCATACATTTGGAGATGAACGGTTGCCCAAACATTACCGGCCGTTTGCAATCATTCTTTTGTTGTACAAGTTGTTCTCAAGGGTACTCTACAACAGATTGGCGCCTGTCCTCGAGCCGCAACAGAGTCCAGACCAAGCTGGGTACAGAAGAGGCTTCTCCGCAGACGACCACTTTTTCACAATGCTTATGATACAGGAGAAGGCCAGGGAACATCAAAAATTGTAGTGGTATGCTGCTTTCGATTTTCAAAATGTTTTCGACTCAGTGGAGCATCGAGCATTGTTTTGGAACGCTCAATTCCGGCAAGGTGCCTCCGCCGCGTACGTGGAGTGACTGCAAAATTTTACGCTGGACAGTGCTCAAGTACAGATTGATGAACAAGAGCTGGTGTTTTCCCGTGCAGCGAAGGACCAAGCAGGGCGACCCGCTCAGGCCACTGATCTGTAACATTTTGTTTGGAAATGAAGTTCGGAAAGCGGAACTGAGATGGACTGGGCGAACGTATGGACTTCAGCTTGGAGTAACCAGCAAATCCCTGTTGATGAACCTGCGATTCGCAGATGACCTCCTTCTGGTTGCACGGGCTCTTCCACAAGTGCGCAAGATGCTGTCCGACGTCTGCGAGATCGCCGGCGAGGTGGGCCTGCAGCTGCATACGGAGAAAGCGAACATCATCACGAGCGCAACGAAGCAGCAAAGGCGAGGGCGGCAGACGCACGTCGACATCAACGGAATGCAAGTCGAGATTGTACCCCCGGACGGTTCTGTCAAGTACTAGAGGAAACTTATTGGTTCGAGAGCGGACGCCGAAGTGGAACTCAGCCACGAACTCTGGCAAGAATGGAAAGCTTCCGTGGCAAGGAATTCTGAATGAACGAACAAGAAGTACACATAATCGAGCAAGTTGCGTCTGTTTCACAGTATTGTAGCACCTTCTATTTTACATGGGGCCTCGGCGTGGACGCTAACGTTGGACATGCAGCTCCTGTTGCAACGGACGCAAGAGATGCAAAGGAACATGTTGCGCATGGCTTTCTGGGTTAGACGGGTTGTGGTGCCGCCGCTTGGAGAGCGACAGTGAGCGACGGTGACGCACGAGGGACATGGGTTGACTGGGTCAAGCGTGTGACGGATATTTACGAATGCAGCCGTACTCAAATGTTCGAAGGTTGGCGCGCTATTTGGAAACGCGCCGTGTGGAAGTGCGTGCATTGAGTCTCGAGCTTCGATAGCACAGTCTGCAGCCTGGCAGGCGGATTCGATCCAAGGGCAAAGGCGCGTCCGCAGCACCGACCAAAGCAACGATGCGCAGATAACATCGTTGATTTTTTCATAGCTACAGCACGCGATGCTTCAGCTGAAGATTGGCATACATGTGTGCGTGGCGCTGGCGAGTGGCACGCTCTGGAGAAAGAGTTCGTCGCTTGCTGAGGGCTGATGTTCTACCCGCCCATCCCGCCATGGACGCGCTCCGGCGCGACTGCAGTGTCTGTCTGTCGGTCTGTCTGATGCTGCTGCTGCTGTTGCTGCTGCTGCTGAAAATGATGGTGATAATCACGATGCTGATGATGATGATGATGATGATGATGATGGTGGTGGTGATGATGATGATGGTGATGGTGATGATGATGATGCTGCTGCTGATGACGATGATGATGAGGATGATGATGATGATGATGATGATGATGATGATGATGATGATGATGATGATGATGATGATGATGATGATGATGATGATGATGATGATGACGATGATGATGATGATGATGATGATGATGATGATGATGATGATGATGATGATGATGATGATGATGCTGAGGAGGAGGAGGAGGAGGAGGAGGAGGAGGATACATTTTACATCCGCTGCCAAAGACCCGATGGGAGACGGGGCAGGAGGAGGCGCGGGAAGGAGGAAGAGGGGTGACGAGGAGGATGCCCGGGCCTCGCAGGACTCTGGCGAGGTGGGCACGTTGAAAGAGAGGTGACCTGGTGCGCGGCGGCACCCACCGTCCCGTCCTGTCCCCTCTGGCTCGTGCTCCTGCTCTTGCTCCTGCTTTAGCCCTCCTTGCTCCCTCGCCCTCCCCTCCCTTCTCCCAGTATTTTTCCGGCTCCTCCTTGGTCGTCCGATGCCAACAAACATGTGCACGGGACAAATGCGAGCGTAGGCGACAATCTCCACGAATCTCCGCGGTTGGTCGCAAGCATTGTATCCGAAATTCGTGCATCGCTTGGGGCCCTGCTGGGCCTTGTAGGTGCGCGTGACAGCGCAGGGCCCCTTCTCAAGGTTCAGTCGTGTCGACGTTCACGCACCTGCTGCGCGTGACCAGGCACGGCCCATGTAAGCTCTTCTTGACACGGGAAGTGCAAGGAGTGGAGGAGGCGTCGGGAAGGAGGATTTAGTTGTTCGGTGGTGGTGATGGTGGTTGCAGGTCGCGTGGAAGAACATGGGAGGGGAGTACACGTCCCGCCTTCCCCCCCTCCCTCCTTCCTCCTCCTTCCTTCCTCCTCCTCCTCCTTCCTCCTCCTTCTTTCTCCTTCCTCCTTCCTCCTCCCCTCCCCCCTTCCTCCTTCCTCCTTCCTCCTTCCCCCCCTCCCTCCTTCCTCCTCCTCCCTCCTCCCCCTCTTTCAGCTCTTCCTCCTCCTTCCCCCTCCCCTACCTTCCTCCTTCCTCCTCCTCCTTCCTCCTTCCTCCCCTGTCCTCCCTCTTGTCCCCCCCGCCCTGCTCCCTCCCCTCCTCCCAGAGGAGGAAGGGAGAAGGAGCAGCGAGCAGGGAGGATGGCCTGCTGCAGATCTGTGCCCCGCCCCGTTCACGCCCCGCCTTCCACCGTCTCACGGCCAGCTGTGCCCTTCCAGCCTCGATGCTCCAGCTGGCGCCGGGTTTAATGGCAAGTCCGAGCGGGAAGATGGCTGGTTTAGGTCAAGCCGTCTCCCGTGGACAGAATTTGCTGCTGCAAAAGGTGTGATCTCCTTTTGTCATCCTTGGAGGGTGGGCGGAGCTAGATCGCAGCGAAGACGCCTGCGAGAGCTTTGGTGGTGAGCGACAGCGGCAGGCAACGGGTATTATACTCATGGCGGCTCTGCATGTGTGTTGTGTCATGGCGATCGAGTCACGTCTTGCTTCGGTGTACATGCTCAGCCAGCAGTATCCAGTTGCGCTTCTGCGCGTATCCGCCACCTCGCTCCGGATTGCGGGGCCCATGGGGAAACCAGCACGGATATTTCTCCATGATTGCAGCTGGCGTGCAGGGACATGACATCGACGCTGCCCGGCCGTTGAGGCCCGTTTCACGGCCCTTTCGGGGCTTTCTCGGAACTATCTTTGGCTCTCTTTGGCCCCTCACGCGGCCTCTTCCCTCCCTCATTAGAGCCACGCTTGAACGTGCACGAGCCCGTTGAACGACCATACTCTGGTTGTCCTATAGCAGCGTTGGAGAGGCGAAGTGCGTTTGCAGCCGCCCTCCACAATCACCTTAATGCCTCCCACCCAGCATACCAGCCGAGTCGGCTAGCAACCATGGCAACGCAGCGGTCAGGAATGATGAGCATACGCACCCTCAGGCAACGCAACAAAGCTTGAACCGCGTTTTCTGTTCCAGTGCACCAACCAGTAATCACCCGCCAGGCATATGCGGCTGGGAAGAGAAGGCACACAGAAGCGAATGAGTTAACCCCACTCGCATGAAACATGCTGTTCGTTTGCAACATATGCGCTTGAAAGTGCAGCGTGGCATTCAGAACCTTCTGCAAACTCAAGCTTCTTGCAGTGGGTATTCCAACGCGACGGCGCAACTACATACACAGGCTGGACTCCAAGCGAAGAAAGGAATACTGGTGACGATCGCAATATCGTGCATTCACACCCGCCGAGCACGGAGGAACGTGACGCCAGTCTATGTTGGCTGATGGTATTGCAAGTTGCACGTCTGGAACCATTTTGAGAGCTTGCTTCTGCAAACGGTGGGTCGGACGGCGTACGCACTTACTCTCCCTTTACAGTTTATCTCGCATCCTTTCCTCCCAGATCACCATATCCAGCAAGCAATATTGGCGGGAAGAGGGAGGGTGGGTGGAAACACGCGTGAGTCAAGAATGTGCACGATCAAGGGGCTTGAACTGCCACTCTTTGTCGATCCCGTCGTCTGCGGGCATATTTGGTTCGCAATTGGATAAGCAGTGGTATCCAATTTAGTGTGCTTACTATGCTTGCCTCCCCCTCCTCCTGCAAGCATCCGATTCCTCCTCCCACGTCGGCCTGGCCAGCGCCACGTGAGGGAGAGGTGAAGGGACGACAGAGGACGTGAAGGGAGGCAAACTCTGGGGACTAGAACATGCCAGAGCGCCTAGTGCGTGCCAGGCTCCCCACAGCGCTCTCATCGACGCCAGCCGGAGCCTGCGCCGCAGCACTCCGCTTCGAGACCTACACGGTCTGAGCGGGCCGCCTTCTTTTCCCCCTGCCTCCGCGGCCGCCGCTCGCCTCCTCCTCGCCTCTCTGTGCCGCCGCTCCGACCCTCTCGGAGCGGCCGCTCGCCTCGGCCTCCCCTCGGAGCGGCCGCTCGGACCCCGTGCGCGGAAGGACTCCTCCGTGGAGCGTCGCCCGAGTCGTGCTGGGCAGGTCGCCCGCCGCCCGGGGCCCGAGCCGTGGAAGCGAAGGCCTCGGCGCCCCGTGCGCGGCGGCCGGCCCGTGCCGCCCGCCCGTGCGAGCGGCGCTGGTCCCCGTCGGCGAGCTCCGCCGCGCCGGCCCCCGGGGCCTCGGCGCTCCGCCGCCCGCTCCCGCGGCCGGCCGCTCTCCTGGCGGAGCTGGGGCGAGCCGCCCCTTTGCCGCGGCGCGTGCCGGCCAGGTTCAGCCACGCGCAGAGGGGGGTGGGGGAGGGGGGAGGGCTTCTTAGAAGCACCCCTGCTTCTTAGAAGGCGCGGGCCTGATCTGTAGATGTGAGGCCGGCGCCTTCTAAGGAGCAGCCTGCTTCTAAGAGGCCCTCCCCCCGCCCCCCTCTGCGCGCCGCCAGCAGGTCCCCGCCGTCTGGTGCCTCCTCGTCGCGAGCCCCGCTCCCGTCCTGGTGATCCCCGTGGGTCCTGGCTAGGGGTGGAGGTGGTGGCTCTGGCCTCCAGAGTCCGCCCCCTCCCCCCCTTGGATCGCCAAGTCTGGAGTGGGGGTCGTGGTTGGGGGTGGGGGTGGGTCGTGCTGTCCTCAGAGAGGAGGCCGAGTTGAGACCACGGTAATTGGCTTCGGGGGGTCCCCCGTCGCAATGGCTGGACGCAGCTCGGACAATTCTTGCGTTTAGGCCTCGGCAGGGGTCTGGGGACCGATTTTGAGTTGCCGTTGGCTCACCTCGCTTTGCTCCGACGACGCTTGGATCCTGTGCGCCTGGAGCATCCAGCACGCACCACCAGGCCTGGCCTCTGGCTAGGTACGGCGGTGATGGCGGTGTATAGCTGCCCGCCGTGCGTCTTTTCCTGGGCGCCGCCGAACGGTGTCTCCTCCCTGGCGGATCCCGCCTCGTCGCCCGCACCGCCCCAGTGGCTGCTGCCCGGGCACGTCGGCCTCGGCCTCCGCGGCTTTGTGCTGGGCTGCCGCGAGGTCTGCCTCTTGCCTGATGGTGTCCAGAAGCGCACCTGTCTAGCTTGGCGTCGATCCAGCTGTGTTTCTTGCCCGAGGCCGCTTTGACACTTCTTGGGCTGTTTCGATTGGGTCGGGGTGGGGCCAAAGTTGCTCAATGCGGTTTTGCTCAATCGTCTTTCGCTTCTGATAGGCGTGGCCTCGCTGCAAGGGCTGCAATGGGCCTCCAACCGGCCTAAGATGGTCCGAAACGGCCCGAGAGGGCCCTTTGACGTGCCCAAGATGGTCCGAGATATTCCCACCTTGGCCCAAGATGGCACCAACATAATTCCAGAGCGTTTCGAACAATTTTGAGAGCTCCGCCAAGAGGCCCCCCCCACGATGCCTTAAAGAGGCCCGCGCGAGGCCACCCCCGTGCGGCCCCCCAGCCTGCAAGACAGCCTTTAGGGACCTCTCCAAAGAAGGGCTCGGGTTTCTTTCGGGGGCCTCTTGGGCCCCAGCTGAAGTTTTCGCGGCGCGTCACGCTGAGGGGGGCTTGCGCCTTCGGGGCGTCCGGGGGCGCTCTTCGGATATTTGTGGTTCGTTTGTGGGTTCCAGTGAGGTTGGGAGGTTGTGTGGGCCGTTCGCAAGACGATAGTCGAATAGCATGTGGTTTGTGGACGCATGGCGGGCGTCGTGGCGCACGGCTTAGCGATGGGTCTCGCTTTCGCGAAGAATCCGCGCGTTCCGCGGCCAACAAGCAGGCGGCATTGGCCGTGCGGATTTTCAGCTTCATGATGATGATGGTGGTTGCGATGATGATTTTGGTGAGGGTGCGGACGGGGATGATGATGCTGATGATGATGTTGATGATGATGATGATAATGATAATGGTCACGACCCTACTGCTGATGATGTTCGTCGGTAAGAGCACACTTAAGGTTAGAGCTTCTCGCGACTGGGGTCGGCAGGAGTACCATTTACGGATCACGCGCGCTGGCCGAGTGTATTGGCATCTGCTCTTGGCAGCTTACCACTCACGAGGCGCTGTTGTCGGCTGAACCCATCGGAACAACCATGGGGACAGCCATCTGGGCAATCATTTCGGGACAGTCGTCGGGACAACCATCGGGATAACCATCGGGACAACCATCGGGACAACCACAGGACAACAACGGGACAACCGCGGAACAACCACGGGACAACCATGGGACAACCACGGGACAACCACTGGACAACGTGGGGACTACCGCGGCCCCCAAATCCGCCAGTAGGACGGGGGGAGTTTTTTGTTCCGCCTTCGACCAAACAACGATGGGATCACCCTTCTCGCCCTCGCGCGCAGCTTTGCCTCGCCAGCACGCGCGACACGAACACGAAACCGCACACGAGTTGCCTTTGGGGGGTCTCCGCTTCACTTCGATCTTACCCCCAACCTCTGGCACGTATGATTGCCAGCGTGGACCCCGACCAGTGAGATGCAGCACTGTGGATGTGTAAGCTATGTAATGTGATATATGAGGTGTGATCTGTGTGGTCTGAGCTGTGTGGTGTGTAAGGTATGTGGCGTAACCTGTGTTGTGCAATATAGGTGGAGTATGCTATGGGGTGTTCAACTCAGTGGTGCAACACTTAACACTTGTGGTACGAGCTATGGGTGTAAGCTATGTGGTGCAACCTAGGTGGTGCAAACCATATGGTGCGACCTGCGCAGTATATGCTATGCAGTGCAATCTAAGTGGTGCAATATGTACAGTGCAGTACCTGTTGTGTGAGCTATGTGCTTTGAGCTGTGACGCGTGGGTTATGCGGGGTAAGCAAGATAGTGCAGTCGACGACGTATAAGTTACGTCGTGTAAGCTACGTGATGCAACCTACGTGGGGTAAGCCATGTAGTGTACGCACGGGGTCCCCACGAGGCGCCCACTGGCGGCAACGTGGCGAAACCTCGGCGGGCCCACCCATCGCACGGGGTACCCACGAAGGCGCCCACTGGCGGTAACGTGGCGAAACCGCGGCGGACCCACCCAGCGCATGGGGCGCCGACGAGGCGCCCATTCGCGGCAGCGTGGCGACACCTCGGCGGATCCACCCAGGGCACGGGGTCTCCACGAGGCGCCCATGGGCGCGGCGACACCTCGGCGGAGCCCCACATGCGGTGGGCGGCAACGAGGCGCCCACTAGCAGTGGCGAAACCCTGGCAGAGCCCCAAGCGCGGTGGGCGGCATCGACGCGCCCACAGCCGTCAACGTGATGAAGCCTCGGCGGAACCATCCACTTCTTTAGGAAAAAAAGTAAGAGCACATTTAATACAAGCCTTGTTTGGGGGAGTCTACACGTATATATATATATATATAACAGTGTATATACATATATATATATAGACATGACATATGTATAGATGTCGCATATAGCAAAG